AAGGAAGGAGAAGAGAGAGAAAAAGAAAAAGAGAGAGAGAAAGAAGAAAAGAAGAGAAGAAGAAGAGGAGAAGAGACCCCAAGAGGAGAAAGGGAAAGGAGAGCAAGAAGAGAGAGAGAGAAGAGAGAAGAGAGAGAAGGAGAAGAGAAGGAGAGAGAAGAGAAAAGAAGAGAGAAGAGATAAAAGAATATTTATTAGAAGAAATAGAAGATTATTAGAGATATTATATTAAATAAGAAGATAGAGAGATATAGATAGAGAATAGATAGATTAAGATAGAGAGAGAGAGAGAGAGAGAGAGAAGACGAGAGAAGAGAGGAGAGAGAAAGAGAGAGAGAGAGGAGAGGAGAGAGAGAGAGAAAGAGAGAAAAGAGGACGAGAGAGAAAGAGAGAGAGAGAGAGAAGAGAGAGAGAGAGAGAGAGAGAGAGAGAGAGAGAGGAGAGAGAAGAGGAGAGAGAGAGAGAGAGAGAGAGAGAGAGAACGAGAAGAGAAGAGAGAGAAGAGAGAGAAGAGAGAAGAGAAAGAGAGAGAGAGAGAGAGAGAGAGAGAGAGAGAGGAGAGAGAGAGAGAGAGAGAGAGAGAGAGAGAGAGAGAGAGAGAGAGAGAGAGAGAGAGAGAGAGAGGAGAGAGGAGAGAGAGAGAGAGGAGAGAGAGGAGAGAGAGGAGAGAGAGGAAGAAAGAGAAAGAGAAAGAGAGAGAAAGCGAGAGAGAGAAAGAGATACATAGATAGAGAGAAATAGAGAGACAGAAAGAGATAGATAGACAGAGAGAAATAGAGAGATAGCATATAAAATACAAATTCACAGAAAGAGGTTGGTGGGTTGGTAAGAGCGGTTGCCATGTTGCAGAGTGGGTTGATGTCCGCGCTGCCATACCTGTGCATGTGGATCTTCGGCCTCAGCTGGGGCGTCTGCATGGACCGCCTCGCCGCTGCCGGGGTGCTGTCCGTGACCGCCGTGAGGAAGCTGTCCACTGGCTTCGGTGAGTTCCCTTTCTGGGGTTTCTGTTTTTATTTTTTTTCTAGGTTTTCTGTTTGAACGTTTTCTAGTTTTTGTCTTTGTTTTCTATCTAACTTTTTTTTTATTAGGTTTTCTATTTGAACTTTTTTGTTTCTATTTAACATTTTTTTTACTAGGTTTTCTCTTTGAACTTTTTTTGTTTTCTTTTTAACTTTTTCTGTTTTCTATTTAACTTTTGTCTGTGTTTTCTATTTAACCTTTTCTCTGTTTTCTATTTCACTTTTTCTGTCTTCTGTTTAAATGGCTTATGTGAAGTAACAACTAAAGAAATTAAAAAGGGAGAATTAGCTCGCAAACAATCTCTCTAATATGAGTAAAAAGGAAATCTGAAAATATTTCCCCAAAATTGATCTATTTCGATTTTATATTTTCCCGCGAAAATCCGGAACCCCGGATGTGTGACGTCAATTCCAGAACACGATCACAGCATTCTCTGCATTCAGTACATTGTACAACATGACGGACTCACTACAAGACTAAGTTTCATCGGATTATTCCGACGAGGACATTGGTACAACTTCTTCAGAGGGTGCCTGTGTCTTCGAAGAGTTGGAAGAAGAAGAATATCAAGGGTTGATGGTTGTTGGACCGTACATGCACGAGCCCGGCGCTGTGGATGTCGTGGAAGTTGTGCCAAACCAGCCAGACATGGAGTGGCGTCGAGACCCGAAGAGATTGAATGAATGGTAATTTTCTAAATTATTTTTTTTTTATAGTCGAACGTGTGATTCCGCTTGTGTATGGTACAAAATTTCTGCAGGTTGAGCTATCTCGTTGTCTGCACCCGTGGCGTAGGCCTACATCCATTCGCGAGTGGGGGGGGCATCGGTATTTATTTGTGTTGTGCTTTTTGGGGTGTACCTACCCTACCTCTGTGTAGTAATACATGCACATTTGCAATGCACTCGACACACTGTATCGGACCCACGCAATGAATGTTTGCTACGCCGCCAATCAAAAGCGCTCTTTCAGAGTTTGTTTTGCACTGTTGTGATCATGACAAATATAAATTGGAAATGGCCTACCGTTTTGCAAATCCCATGTCGTAAGCCATTCTGTTCGCAAAGCAATCGGGCTCGAAGTGTTTCAGGCAAAGTACGCTGGTTGGCACAGGCTGAAAGTTGCTCTGCTTGGCATGCACAAAACGTGTCCACTTCCTTGCTCTGTCGCGGTCTTTTGGCCATTCAAATAGCTGGTGACATGAATGGGAACAATGAATTGCTACACAACGCCGTGGCATCCTGTGTTACAAACTTTAATAGCTTGAAACTGGGACAATTCCATGATATCCTTGACTCGCGGGTGCACTGTGTGGGGAATGGGACAACTGGCCGCGGCCATCTAGCCGCAGCCCAACTGGCCGCGGGAAACGGGCGCACATGGAACTATCTTTATGGAGTACTTAATGGAATAAGATTATAAAAAAAAATGTTAATGTTTTTATTGATTAAAAAACAAGAAGTAACTACATGAAGAGTTGTGTGTGTCTTTAATGATTAAATAACAAGAAGCAACATCAGAAATTTATGAAAAGTTATGAGCAATTCCCCTGAGATATTTAACATTACGACCCTCAAATGTTCTTACAATTGCTTTAATTCTTTCATCTGCTTGTCTGTATTTCTTCAACTTGACAGGTGGCTCATGCCCTGCGATCAGCTGCTCGTAATATAGGTCTCTTCCACGTTGCATTTTTTTTTTTCAAACCATCAATAAATTTCCAAACAGTAGGATGTTGCATTCCAAGTTCATGTTGCAGTCTACGATGAGCAGCTTCCGGGTGATTGTTCTATCTTCGTCATTTAGATTTGGTGAGGTGAGGTGAGGTGCCAGTTTCCGCGGCCAGTTGGCTGCGGCCACTATCCCGCGGCCAGTTGGGCTGCGGCTCGGTGGACGCGGCCAGTTGTCCTAGACAAGGTCTATATAAGTACTTATATAGACCTTGGTCCTAGACGCCACTGTGTGTATCACGCTATTCAACAAGATTCTCCCTGGCCCTGGGAATGACGTTACGACCGCGGATTGCCGAAGCCCGCCGAGTTTTACATCTTCGTTTCTGAGGACGTTGCTATGGGATTTTGGGGGATACTAGAGGGTATCTTCGATTTTTTTTTGCATGAATAGGCTAAGCATACATTATTGAACAATATTCAAAGAAAAAACAATGCACGATAATTACTTCACATATGCCCTTTAACCTTTTCTCTGTTTTCTATTCAACTTCCTTGTTTTTATTTTACTTTTTTCTAGTCTTTCTCTTTTCATTCTTTTCTAGTTTTTTTTTTTCACCAAGGGTGCTGGTGCTGTAGCAGTTAGGCGTGGATTTGCGGAGTTTTTGTTTTTGAACGTACATAGAAATGGCTTTTTATTTCCTTTACTTCCTTTTTTGATTTCAGTATCATATTAGATCATTGGTATACCTGTATCTCGTAGATATTCCTTAAACATACCTGATACATGTGCAAGGTATGATATTCTATCGAATTTGAGGACATACCGTATCCTAATTGTCCCTCGAGACAAACAAGAAACAAATAGAAATTGCGGGTATCAGTTGCACGCGCCCCCCCTCTGCATTGGTCCATGCTCCTGTCATGGTGTCACACACCCCTTCAGGCCCCTTCCAACCCCACCCGTCTAGAAGCTTTTGTCAAAGAAACCATTGATCCAAAAGTTGAGTCGAGTATTAATCGACAACTTCCCCAAAAGTAATCAGTAATCGCCCTTATGAAGGTTGCTTGCAGCGCCCGCCACGGCTGAATTCTCTTCCTCTGCAACGCAGCTCACTACGTGCCGGCGGTGGCGCTCGTGGCCATGTGCTTCGTGGACTGCAACTCCACCCTGGCGATGGCCGTCCTGTGCTTAGCGGTGGGGGCCTGCGGCAGCGCCTACAGCGGCAACGCCCTCGCCGAGCAGGACATCGCGCCCAACCTGACGGGGACGCTGATGGGCATCACCAACACCATGGGCGCCGTCATGGGCTTCATCGCGCCCTCCGTCACGGGCGCCATCACGCAGGGCAGAGTAAGATGATGAACGAGATTTTAAAATTTCTTTGAGCTCGCGCGTCGCCACCTGGCAACCTCCTCCTCTGCCTTTGCTCCTGAGACAGTTCTTGAGTCAGCTGTTTCCTCTGCATCCATGCCTATTTGATCATGTAACGTGTGTCTTCAGGAGAGGTTAATCCAACAAACTAATCAGCTTTGAGAGATGATGATAATGATTATTATATCGAGAACTGCAATTAATTATGTCAATATCGCACTCATATTTTCACTCGACCCTGACCCTTACAACCCCGCGCAGCAAGGGTCACTGGGCGCTTGGAGAACCGTCTTCCTGGTGTCGGCAGCGAACTACGTGGTCACAGCCACAGTCTACATGCTCACTATGTCCGCGCAGGTCCAGCCTTGGAACCAGTCTCAGAAATCCGAGGGTCAGTAGGGAAAAATATATATGTGAAGATATATGACATATCTGTAATGTAGCTGCATGCTTAACGAGTACTAGGTAAATACCGATTGAAATTCTTTCCCTATTTGATGTTATATTTTCCTTTTTTTCAGATCGTCGGGAGGGTCCTGAAGGGTCCTCAGCCTTGGAAAAACTCAATCCATAATGATTTTTTTTTTTTTTTAGAAATCTCAGACTTTACTATTGTTCTTCGTAAAATAGAACATTTTGAACATCGCTCAATTCACATCGGCTTTCGTGGTGTATATAAAGCATGAACGTGCAAATTTGAAAAAAAGATGTCTTAGTAATAACTTGACAAAGTTATTTCACAATGATACATATCTCTATTTAGATAGAATGATATAAATAAATAACAGAATAAATATTGAAAAAAATAAAGATGCACTTGGCAAGGTAGTTATAGCTGACGACAAACTGGTAATTATTGGACAGCTGACTGGTTGACGATGATGACTATTAAGTTATGACAAGCTAGTGATTATAGATTAGAAGTTGACAGATTGTTGATGACAATCATGTAATAACTCGCAGGTTGGTGGTGATAATTGCCTTAAACATCTTTTTATTCGGACATTTTTATCATTTTTTCTATTATCGCCAACATATCCGGTGCTTCTTTACCTCGATAAAACTATAATTTCTCTTGAATCAAGAGGTTTAGATTACGAAGAAAGTTTTATCGGATAGAATGTATAGTTAGAATTACATATTCGGTGTGAAATCGTGTTAAAAAAGATAATACTGACTATTGCATCAGTAGTCTATTTACTAATTTTATTTATCTATTCTTTGCTATTATTGTCTACCAGTTACTATTATATGTTACAACTGTTTTTATTAATCTAAGTCGCTGTTTTTTTTACCACCATAATGTTTTATTTCAGCGTTTATTATTTTTTCTGATTATCACATATGAGGTGTGATATTGTACGATTTCTTACATAAAACGAATATTTAATATCAATTTTATTTTCCTTATATTTATCTATTCTCTGTAATTCTAAAACAAACAAACAAAAATAACACATATATTTTTCTTAAAAGTGGGAAATAATACACAAATTACATAAGACGTTTAACTATGACTCGAATCCGAAAAATGCAATAAGAATGACCCAGCACAGTGGAACTTCATCTACAATTGGGAGTTTACTTTGACATCTTATGAGACACTGAAGTCTTATTGGAAACTCGAATGGAATTAGAATTGCACGAGACAGCAAAAATATCAAATGGTACTTAGAAATATAAATGAAATAAAAAGATAGAAATTTGGAAATGAGAAGAAAATGAAATGAACACGATACTACAAACTGCTAGAAAAATGCCTATCTTTCAGTATTGAAAATATAGTTACAATATGATATTGCGCTCACATAGGCATCATTATAATCGTTATTATGATTGCTGTTATCAGTTTCATCTTAACATAATCATTATCACGTTCTGAATAATTTCAAATAACTCATTATCATGATTGTCGTCATCACCATTTTTACTATTATCATTGTTACTGATATTATCTTCATAATCATACTTTATATTATTATCATTATTTTATTGTTAGTATTATTAATGTTATTGTTTTGATTGTCTTCACTATACTTAACATTATTACTGATATTACTAATATTATTACTATTATCATTCTTCTTCTTCTTCTTCTTCTTATTATTATTATTATTATTATTATATCATTATAATCATTGTCATCATTATCATTATCATCATCATTTTCCCTTCCATAATTATCATTTCTATTTTCATAATTATAATTATAATCCTCATTATTATCATTATCATGATTAATTGATATTGATATTCTTATTAATATCATTATCACCATTATTATCCTTATCATTCTTATTATTATCCTTATCATCATTACTATCATTATAATTGTTATTATTATCATTATTAGTTCTATCATCATTATTATCATGAATATAATTATAATCAATATTGTTATTATCACTATCGTCATTGTTATCATTACCACTATTATCATCTTTATCACTATCATTTTATTACCAAAAGTATCATTATTACCATCATTATCATTAACAAGATTATCCGCATTATCATGATCAAAATTATCATCATTATCCTTTTTTATCATTATTATCATCACTTTTATTAATAATGTTATTATCATTATTTTCATTATTATCGTTATCAGTATTTTGACTAATACTATCATTGTCAAAAAATTATAAAAATGATGATAATAATGATGATGATTATGATTATAATAATAATAATGATCATAATCATCATAATAATAATACTAATGATAATTATGATGATAAGAATAATGGTAATGATAAAGATAATAATAACAACAATAATGGTATTAATAACAATGATAATAATAAAGATAATAAAAATGATAATGAGGATGAAAATAATGATAATAGTAATAATAATTGAAATAATGATAATATTAAAGATAATGATAACAATGATGATAATAAATATAACTGCAACAATAGAAAAAAATATGGTAATGATAATGATTGTTATAAAAGCAATAATAATAGTAATAAAGGATAAAGATAATCATAATATAGTAATAATGATAACCGTTTTTATCATTTCCATTTATCATATTATTATTCCTGCCATTATCATCATCATCTTTATCGGCATTATCCTTACCAATATATTTTCATCACCATTATGATTATCATTATCATTACTAACATTATCATCATCAACATCGTCATTATAATCTTTTTATCAACGGTATTACGATCATCACCATTATTGCTATTACTATTATTACTATAACCATTATTATCATTATCATAATCATTGTTATTATCATTGTAACTATTATTGGTATTATTACTATTGTTCTCATGACTATTTCACTATTATCACAACCAATATAGTTCCAAAAGGTTTCCAAAAGACTATTAAATACACTTTTATTAAGGACAGCTCACAAAACCTCCCAGAGATATAATTCTTGGACATTCAATTCTTGCGACAGACTGTATATGTGATTTTTATTCTTATCATTATCACCAGGATCAGGATCATTGTTACCATTAATGTTTTTATATCCATCATTATTTTCATTACCTTGTTCATCATCATTTTCATAATTTTAGTGATGAATTTTTCTACTTAGGATTATTTCCATTCCCATTTGGTTATTTTCGTGGTCATCTTGAGTCGTGAGCGAAGCCGTTCTCTATTTTGAGTTTATTTTCCGCTGAAAAAAACAACTATATTAATAAAAAGGTGGATTATATATATATATATATATATATATATATATATATATATATATATATATATATATATATATATAGAGAGAGAGAGAGAGAGAGAGAGAGAGAGAGAGAGAGAGAGAGAGAGAGAGAGAAAGAGAGAGAGAAAGAGAGAGAGAAAGAGAGAAAGAAAGAAAGAGAGAAAGAGAGAAAGAGAGAAAGAGAGAAAGAGAGAAAGAGAGAAATGAGAAAGAGAGAAAGAGAAAAGAGAGAAAGAGAGAAAGAGAGAAAGGGAGAAAGGGAGAAAGAGAGAGGAAGGAAGAGAAAGTGAGAAAGTGAGAAAGAGAGAAAGAGAGAAAGAGAGAAAGGGAGAAAGAGAGAAAGAGAGAAAGGGAGAAAAAGAGAAAGAGAGAGAGAGAACTTTTCGTCGCAACTGAACCGGTACTTCCCATTAAATTCTTAATATGACTATTTTCGTTACCAAACATTTATCATCTTTTCCCGATGCGTCACATGCATATTGTAATGAGCGCAGTACCTATGTTGCAATACCTTAGAAGATTGCATTACCTGTAGGCTGATGTACCTGTATGTTGCAAATAATTAGTCTAAATTTAAGCCTGGCCTACCGAAGAAAGATCACAGATAACTACCGAAAAAAGAAAAGAAAAGAAAAGAAAAGAAAAGAATAAAAGAAAAACAAATAAAGATACTGACCTTTGACCTTTTCCGGGTCATTCCAAGGCTGGACCTCAACAGACATCAACACCATGTAGAGGGAAGGGGTGACTGTCACTACACCAGCTGTCATCAAGAACACTTCCCTCCAGGCGTGGATAGAGCTATTCTGGAGGAGGAGGGGGGGGGTAGATGGATTGATATATAGATAGATGGATAGATGGATTGAGAGAGAGAATGAGGGGGTGAAAGAGGGGAGAGAGGGAAAGGGATAGGGAGAGGAAGAGAGAGAGAGAGGAGAGAGAGAGAGAGAGAGAGAGAGAGAGAGAGAGAGAGAGAGAGAGAGAGAGAGAGAGAGAGAGAGAGAGAGAGAGAGACAGACAGACAGAAGAGAGAGAGAGAGATAGAGAGAGAGAGGAGAAGAAGAGAGAGAGATAGAGAGATAGATAGATAGATAGATAGATAGAGAGAGAGAGAGAGAGAAGAGAGAGAGAGAGAGAGAGAGAGAGAGACTTAAAGAATAAAAAAATAATTCACAATGCCAAAACTACATAACTAAAGAGGAAGCATCGCACGGCGGACAACTCGAAAGCAACCGCGGCATCTGAACAGCAGAGCGCGCCACGGCCTTCATCGCTTCCCTGCTCACGTTGTTCATGGTGACGGCGCCAGCAAGGGCCGGGGCGAGGAAGCCTGTCGCAGATCCTATAGTGTTGGTGATCCCCGTCAGCGTCCCGGCTAGGTTCGGTGCGATGTCCTGCTCCGTGAGGGCGTTGCCGCTGTAGGCGCAGCCGGAGACTCCGACGGAGACGCACAGCACGACCATCGCCGCGGAGGAGTTGCAGTCCACGAAACACATCGCGACGAGGGCGAGGGCGGCCACGTAATGCGCTGGGGATAAGGGGATGCATTAATCTGGCATCACACCTGGCTCTTCCGATTTTCTTCTCGTACGTTTACATTAATTTGATATAAATACGAAACACCTTTTTCCCAATTCCATTACTCCTTCTATCGATCTATTAATCCACACTATCCCACTTAAATCGCAAACCCAAAGAAGGGGACTGAAGAGCCTCTCACCAACGCCCGTGGAAATGCGCCTGACTGCCTTGAGGGACAGACACCTGGCCGCCAGGAGCCTGTCCACCAGAACGCCCCACGCCAAGGAAGCGCAAAGCATGCACACGAACGGCAACCCAGACAGCAACCCATTCTGTGAAAAAACGCGTCTTTTCTCACATTTAACGTGTCTTTTCTCATATCATTTCCTCTCGTTTGGGTTTGATTTATCTTAAGGAAATGAACTGTGGGTGGCGATAGGTAATATCTTAGTTTCCATATACGTCAAGCAAGGGAGAGGGAAGGCTTCCTGCAATCCGACTGCCATCAGGAAAGAGTCAATTTGCAGACTGAAGCCACTAACGGATAAGGCGTCCTTTTTGCTCCTTTTATGACACACAAATAAACACACACACAGACATGTATATGTATATATATGTATATTTATATATATTATATTATATATATTTACATATACTATAAATACATATATACATAGATATATGATATATATATAATCATATATATATAAATAGAATAGGACCCCGTGAACTTAGCTCTTCTGCATCAACACAACTAGGTAAGTAACACATACACAAATATATACATGTATAAATGCACACACTTCATGCCAAGAACATATCGAGCACCTCTTCCAGGCATCTATACTAACACTTTTGACATTGAAGTGCTGGATGTCGGCGAGGTAGGTGGGCATCTCCGTCAAGAAGGTGTAGAAGGCGAAGGATCCGCCGAAGGCCATGACGGCGCAGGACCACATCGGTGGCGAGGTCAGCACCGCTCTCCAGGGGATCGGCACTCTCTGAAGGACGTCCAATTTTATTGCATTTAATTTTTTTATATTCCGATTATGGTAAAAGTAAAGGAACATCTGAAAGAAGAAGAAGAAGAAGAAGAAGAAAAAATAAAAATAAAATAAAAAACGATCTTCGGTGGAATGATTAGCTTTGGGAAGCCCCGTTACCTCCACGCCCTTCACGGTGTCCTGCTGCCCCTGGATGTAACCAAGTTCACGTCTGGAGATCCTGGGGTGTCCTTCGGGCCGGTCGTGAATGAGGAGGAACCAAGGGAGCCCCCACACCAACCCGACGCCCCCGAAGACGTAGAAGACCGACGGCCAACCTCCCAGGAACTCGGAGTTACAGAGCCAGCCGCCCAGCGTGAGGCCGATGATGGTGCCAAATTGCATTCCTGAGGAGGATGAGTTATGGTCTGTTGCTCCCTTTGTGTCTGTCTTTTAAATTGGGTTTGGAATTATTTATAGCCTGAGTTGTATGTTCTGATAAATATATTTCATGGAGAAATGATAAGGGATCTATTAATGCCCCTGAACAGATTTGGATTATACAAACATCATAACATATCTACTATCAAATATTTAGTAGAATAATTTTTGTATTTCCCCGTTGGTGGGAAGTATCATTAATTAATTGGATTGCGAACGAAGTAAAAATAACCACAGATATTTGATTTTTAAGCTCGATAAAACGTCTACCTCTATAACAATTCATCTCTACTGTTTATAGCAACTTTACACACAAAGGAGCAAGATATATTCTAAATTTGAAAGAATATAACGAACACGAAGGAACTTGCCTGCATAAACGAAGGAGCCCAGTTTGGCCCTTTCTTCAGGGGGAAACCAGGTTGCCATCAAGGAATTTAGAGCCGGATATGTAACTCCCTTTGGACGATTCGAGAAAGAATAGAGATTGCGTGTTATGAAGCTAATAATAAAAATGAAATGACAAGACTTAGAAAGGGTTCAAGCTTGAATCTGGTATCTTGTTAATTTTTAGAAACCAATTAATCAGATATCGCTATCTTTCCTTCGCTCTAATTTCTCTTGCTCCTATTTTCTCTTCCTTTTACTCCCCTTTCTATAACACCGAGTCATCCTTTACCTGCGAAACCCCAGTCAGGACTCTCGAAGCCACGAAGAGTCCTGTCGAAGTCCTTGCGCACAGCGGCGAGAGGAGGGCGAGGACCGAAGCCGCGCTCGAACCGAGACCGAAGACCAGACGCCCCCCGAGGTACTCCGCCAGGCGCCCCCCGAGGAAGTTGGTGCAGGTGTAGCCGTAGAAGAAGGACCCGAGGATCAGGCCCTGCGTCTCCTCGTCCCAGGCGAACTCCCCCCTCTGAGGCGCGGGGTCAAGGGTCAGGGGACGCGCGGTTGGGTATTGGGAAGGTCGTTGATGGTCAGGGGTGAGCACACACGCACACGCACGCACGCACTCACTCACGCCCTCATCCACACACACATACACGCCCGCACTCACTCACGCAATCATCCACACACACATACACGCACGCACTCACTCACGCACTCATCCACACACACATGCACGCACTCACACATGCACCAACACTCACACACACACCTGGCAAATCCGAGGACAAAGGCTTCTCCCAGTCACTTGCACTCACCACAGGGTTCCCTCCCGAGTCTGTGCCATTGCCTCTGACAGGACACGCATCTTGAGTGGAATTAGCAGTGGCGTTGCCCTCCCTCGCGCCCGCCATGGCCACGATGGCGATGGACAGGTTCACGCGCAGCGAATACTCGACGGCGAGGCCCAGGAACCCCAGCAGAGCGAGGGTGTGGCGGGCGGCCCAACGCTCTCCTGGTTGAATGAACATACATGTTTATATACACATGTGTGTATATAAGTACTGTATCTCTCTATCTATCCATTCATTTGCCTGTCTATCTGGCTGTCTATCTATCTATCTATCAATGAGTCTATCTATCTATCTATTAATGATTCTATCTATATCTATATATCAATCAATCTATCTATTCCTATATACAATAATATCAAATGACATTTCATCTCTTTATTTCTGACTCCTTTTTTCTTGATCAGCAAGTATCTCGAACGACGCTGATAAAAGTGCAACATAATGCAGCGTCAGCCATTATCCCTACTTCCTTCCGCTTCCAGTCGGGGCGCCAT